TCTGAATAATCCAATTACCGAAGGTTCTTTGGCCAATAACCTCTCATTCTTTGCAACATATCTGCCGTAGAACCGTGTCACAGGTCGATGTTATTAAAGAGTCAGTCTAACCGTTGTCGATCGATTAGATCTCCTCGTTTAAGAATAGATCGTTTCAGTGTTTCTTAGGGTTCCGAACTATCACCATCAAACATACTAGGTGTTACGTACCTGTTGAATCCGTACGGCAGTGGCCTGACTACTATGAAGAATTGCGCACATGTGTCGTTCACACCGTGCCCGTGGAAGTCGGTCTCTGCATAACAGAACCAGGCTTCTATGTTGCCTGGCCAGAAAGGCATTAGCTGAAACGAAGGTGGGGACACAGTCTCTAACTGAAGTACCTTGGGTATCTGTTCAGTCATGGTGAAATATCAAGTACGAGAATGAACAAGTGAAGAAATATGTATATTCAAAACACGGAAAAATATCACAATATATAAAAAATTAAATTAAGGCATTGATATACAGAGTCTTAAAAAGGAAAAGACTCACAGTTTGCGATTTGGTGTACCAGATCACATCGGGTTCATCATGGGTATTTGTAGTTTGGCAACACTTAATCGTACCCACCAAGTGAAATCAAAAGAAAGAAAAGAGGAGATTCGAAGATATATTTGATAGTCCATCAATATATCGTGGATCGACTGATCTAATCTGGTTAGCGATTGCAGGGGTTGTAGAGCACGGCATTCCCACTATTGATCTGGTGCGGATGCATGACCAAGCTCCTTAAGTTAGATGAGTCCATCCAAAATACGTGGTCAGCATCCAATATCGAAAACTTACAGAGCTATTTATTTTGAGGATTAATTAACCGCTGCAACACCTTAACTTATTCCCGTTACATTACCATAGAATACGGGGTGATCTAATATTGGCTTATCATATTACGAACGATGACATTGGTAATAGTATGTCCTACCTTCTTCCGACTAAGACAGATCATTTGAGGGAACATTCAAAGAAAGTTCAAGAACCAAGGTCAAATCGTCTACATCTATAGTTTCATTTCTTGCACCAGACTTCAGTCTTCAGTAATAAGGATAGTAGGTTGGTGAACCTATGTTAATCCTGACAGATTACCTTCCACTGAAGATCCAGTTTCTCCTTGAAAATATTCACTGATGAGGCTGATATCACTTGTTCGGGTAAGGCGTTCCAATCATTGACTACTGGATGAGAAAAACGGGATCCCACTTTAAGTTTATTAGATCGCGGTTTATGAACCTTCTTGCTATGACCTGGGAGATTATTAGTGCTGGAGGGAGCAAAAGGATGAGACATATTAACTCCCGAATCATAAATAAAGATACGAAACGCCAGTATAAGGTCACCTTGCATCTTACGATACGACAAGGGGAAAAGATTTAGGCGTTTTGAACGCTCATCGTAAGGGAGACCTTTCACTTCTTTCATTTCCACACGTTGGACACGCTTAAGGGAGTTAGTATCCTTTACCAGACACGGGCTAGCTTCCTGGATACAGTACTCTAAATGTGATCTTAGGTAGATGGAATATAAAATTTGAAACATTTCCTCGTCAAAAGATTTGAACGCTCGGCGATATGACCATAACGCACGAAAACCTTTGACAGCGGCTATGCTGCAATGCGTAATTGTTTTTAAATGAAGACTTATTATTACTCCCAAGTCTTTATGCTCTTGAACGTATGGAAGAGGTTTACCCGCAACAGTATAATGGTAACTATTACCGTGACCGATGTGCATTAGTACACTCTTCCTAGAATTGATTTCTATGCCTCAACCTTGAGCCCATCCAACTAAATCGTCTAAGTCAGCTTGAAGATCCAGATGATCAGCCTCACTTTTTATTGTTCTCCAGATTTTTACGTCATCCGCAAACAATAATGTCGACGACTTAAGTAACAGCGGTAACTCATTAACGTAGAGAAGGAAGAGCAGAGGGCCTAAGATGGTGCCTAGGAGTGCACCACATTTGACCGGCTTCCAACCGGTTAGCGTTCCATTGACCTTTACTCTCTGTCTGCGTTCACATAAGAAGTAAACTATCCACTCCTGTACAGTACCTATTATTCCGAAGCTCGTGATCTTCTGCATAAGACTCAAGTGTGAAACCTTGTCAAATGCTTTGCTAAAATCTATGAGCATCACATCGACAGACAGGACTTTATCTAAGGCTTCTGTCTAATCCTCTCTCGCAATAAGTTAATCAAGCGTGAGCGCTTGTTACAAAATCCATGTTATTCAGGAGCTAACAGATTGTGTGAATCTATGTGGCTTAGTAAGCTAACCCGAATAATTTTTTCAAGCAACTTAACGACAATGCTAGTTAGACTGATAGGCCGGTAGTTAGATACGATCTGTCTCTGACTATCCTTAAATATAGAACTGACTACAGCGTCTTTCCAATCTCTAAGGAGTTGAGCGGGTGAAAGGGACATGTTGAAGAGTGTAGGGAGCTGTATGGAAATAATGTCCGCAAGAGATGACAGCAACCGTGGATGTCACCTGTCAGGGCTCGGTATCTTACAAGGTTTGAGGTTAGTTATCAACGGAAGGACAGTTTCCTCAGTTACCTGTACAGATTCAATGGTTGGTATCTCGGTGTGAGTGGGACAAGTATTTGTTACAATAAACGTAGAGTAAACTTGGCCAAAATATCTTGAAAAAGTCTCAGATTTTGCGCGGTCTGATTGAGCTAGTAAATCTGAATTTTCGTGTAACAGTAACGAGGGTATACCATCACTACGTTTCATTCACCGTTTAACATACGAAAACAATCGCTTCAGACAAGTACAGCCATCATATACCAACTGTCCTTCGTAGGTGGTACGGGATTTAGCTATGGTTTTCTTACGGATATTACGGAATGTTTGGCACTCACACTTAAATGATGCGTGACCTGTCAGCAAGGATAAGTCCTAGAAATATTTTCTACAATTTAAGAGCTTCCGGGTTTCCCTATTAATCCATGGAAGGTAATGTGATAGCTTACGTGCTCACCATGGGATAAACGGCGACGTTACGGACTCGAATGTAGCCTTAAACTTATTCCATTCGTCTTCGATCGATTCGACCGCGTCGACCAACCAATCAGTCGAGATAGCACAGTTTCTGATTGCCGGAATATCTGCTCGTCAGATATTGGGACGGAGTGGAGTATATACGAATTGTATAACATGCGTCCCAAACGTAAAGTGAATTACAACGTGATCAATATTCGCTCGTGGGCGAAGGTGCTGAATATCAAAGATATCCTCACAGTGGTTGGTGAGGGCGACGTCCAGCAGTGACGAATCATGATTGAAATCAATATGTGTCGGTTTTGTGCTACATTGTACAAGTGCACACTGAATAACGGTAGATAAAAGGTCGCTATCGAAACCTCCACCTGGAGCTGTAAGTTCTACACAGCTGATATATCACATTACTGTTTCTGGCACTATATTTTATTTTATAACCACACATAATCCCATACTCTCAGCTTCTTTCTGAATCCCCTCCATTTGCCAGTTGTATGTCCACTCACACCTTGTTTACACTTACTTTTGTAACCTATTAAAATGCCTTTTTCTAACAATACCTTAATGAAAGAAAATTACACTGAGTAATCATATCTTAAATATTCCTTCATGAATATTGGCTACTCTACCTCTCGTCCTTTCTTTTACTTGCTCCCTCTTTCAGCCCACTTGTGATATGGAACGAAAGATTTCATCCGGCACCATCCTCAAAGCCTTAGACATTCCAAAGGGACATAAGCTTGCGACATTTAGAAGCTCCTACCTTCAATGGACCTATACATAACCATCAGTTGCACATTTGCAACGCAACTTTCATGAAGCGCGCCAACTGTGGTACTGGTTAAAACCATCTGCATTCATATCTTATAAATTATCAACCCAGCTATGTGATTTACTACAGTGGATATTGTATCAATTTGATCTTGCCTGTAAACTGGCATGCCTCATGTAACAAACTGTTATTTGAGAATAAATTATTATTATTATATGCAGTGCGTTGACGTCCCCAATGATGAGACAACATTCTGTCATACTCTAAGAACAGATGTGTCTCAAGATAAAGTCGTCAACAAGACAAAATGGACTACGGTATATTCCCCCCATAGTCACTAACCCATTTCTAGATTTATTCTTACAACACGCAACCTCACATGTACCACTAACATGAGCCTCCGATATGATTGATTGTATACGAAAGTGATCCCCAACGTATAATATTATGTCTCCTACCTTGCGACTTAAAACTTTGTCACTTCTAATACAGACATAACCTGCAATGATGAGAAAACATTCTATATCTACTGTGAACCAAGTTTCTGTAACAACAATTATATCGGGACTTAATTCGTCCACCATCAAACTTAGCTCGAACGCTTTATTTCTAAGACTTACCAAGTAAACAGTTAATAGTTTCAGCTGTCTTTCCTACTCTTATGCGTTTCCGCGTCATCCAATTTTCATAAGTCGTAGCATCCACATTAGAACTCCTCGGGACAGTAATTGTTATATCTGGGTCACTGGTTGCTGCTGTAGCAACATGGCCACCGATATCTAATGGCGTGTCACTCGTTGATTGTTTCGGGGTAGACGGATTGGTTGCGGGTTGAATAGTTAGATGTCTGGCTTGCGCCGTGACAGCATTTACGACACTAACACAATCTTCACCATCAGTACCAATATTACCAGTACAGCCCTCATCAACCTTCTTATTAGCCAACATCTGGAGGCTAATTGTCTCCTGGATGAATAATATTTTGCTCGAGCAACAAGAACTACAAAGCCAATGAGAGTTGGGCTTTGAGCACCTTTTATCTGCAGTGGGGCTTAATCGGGTGCACAGCTTATGGAACCACTTATTACACTCATCACATTGCATCCCTTCCTCCACGGCGAATAAGCAATACGGTTGTCCACATTTATGAGTAGAGCTGGCCAGCTTGAAAATCAACTACGACGGTGACACAAATACGAAATGTAAAAGAATTCTCAAACCTTAACTAAATAAATCAAGTAAAAGTCGACCAAGTACGCTTCAATGCAATAAATACACAAAAGCAAAATCGAAACACTTAATACAACATCACTTTAACTGGAGTAGATACAATTAAAGTGTAAACAGTAGTTTTGATGCGTAGTTTACGATCAAAACAGTTGATTAACTCAACGAGAAACAATACCACTGTCCTTTTTAGATAGCGCGCTTGAATTACCGGAATTCTCTACCGGAATACGTAGTATCAGTATCTCCTGTTGATGTATTTGAAACGAGATTGAACTTCCACAGTGCAACAAAGTGCAAGGATTAATACAGGTCTATAGACCTCCTATCCTTATTACTAAAGAATGGATCTAACGCGGTCTGTTTCACTGGAAAGTTACACTACCATATGGCCAAAAGACGGGCCGATATTGAGTTGAATCAAGATAACTGGGATGATGATTTAAGAGCTACTACTAAAGGAAACTTCGATAAAGCAGACAAGGACATTATTTCACAAAGAAAAATTTTGACAGCACGTACTAACAGAACATCTGTAAGTTTTCCATTATGTAATTACCTACTTCTCATAAGAATGGAACGTCTGGACTATTTAAATCATTTACCGCTTTTTCTGACTGCTCAAGTGGAAAACCAGTATCATTCGATTTCGGACTCAAACATTCAAGTGTTAAAGAGAATGGACATAAGGATGAAGAGACTGAGTATCTTGAACACCTACAAACTCTCAATCAGAGCTTACTCGATTGGATTACAAAACACATTAAAGAAGACCCATTTTGTATTCTCAGCCCGATATTCTCCGATTACGACAAACATTTATCGGGAATCAACTCTAAATTTCCCAAACAATCATTAGTAGGTGCGATTCCACTACCGGAGAAAAAAGAAGCCAGCAGTCACTTAATTGCCAAAACATCCAAAGTTATTGAGACTCCGGTCAAAAGTGCACCAAATCCCGTTTTCTTTTTTGGCAACTCCATACCAAAACCCACACCTATATCCTCCGGCTCTTCGACTGATTCTACAGATAAGAAACCTATATTTTCGTTTGGGTTGCCGCCTATCACAACAACTAGTACTAATTTCACTCAGTCGCTTTTTCAGTTTCCCAGCGTCTCTAGTTTCTCACAAAAACCTGTGAATCTCGATCCTAAACAGAACACTGGTAATCAACAAGGGGATGATGACGGTATGCTACCTCTTCAAACTAAATCCTATTTTAGACGAGGAATATATTCCTCCCAAACCAGAGGTTAAAGATTTCAAAGAAGATGGATCGGTTTTCACTACAAGGTTCGCTTCTCTTTACCATTCAATTGAGTGTCTGTACGATTTATGTGTATTTACTTATTATTTGGACACAAATATTGGTACAAAGGGGCACTGAAATACGTATGCGCCACACAAGTCAATTGGTTTGTGCGTGGGCCGTGTCACTGCTCCGGATGTCCAAACTGAAGCAAGTGGTTTTTCTAGGGGGCCACACCCGGAGTCTTCGACTTCAAGGTCTGATCCACAAGGCATTGGAGCAACGTCAGGAGATGGAGTCCCATGGTAGCTGGTGACCAACGATCGATTCATATACCATTTGTTCCTCCAGGATCCTGGAACTCATGTGCACCATTGGTTTATGATCAGAGCTTTCTAACTCCACTAGATGGACAATCTGTGCCCACCGATCCGGCTAAAGCGCCGGACATTCGCTTCTTGTCCTGTCAATTTCGTAAATAACACCCTCGCCACGGGGCGGTGAGTAGGACTCTAGAATAAAGCACGAAGTTATCCTAAGTACGTAGGGATAGCCTATTATCGCAGTCTGTATTATTATTGAGATTCAGTCTAAACCTAAAAATATACAAAGAGGCTAGTGACATCTACCAAGTGATCCTGCTTTCTCAGAATTTGATGGGAGTTTCGAGTATCCAAAATAACTGGTCCATGCATTAATGTCCTTACCATATCCTACCTGTTAATCGGTCTTCGGAAAATCAAACTGCTGAAACATAACATACGAACTGTTGTTCCAATTATTTGTTGTTAATATGAAATTCTCTTAAAATAGTAGAAAAAGGTCAAATCTATATATTTAATCCTTGTAGTGACTAAAGGGCTTACGCCGCAAGTTTTTTATCGTGTCTTATTCGAACCTATGTAGTTGCTTCATTCCTAACATAATCAGATTTGTGCAGTAAGGACAGAAGACCCATGACCTATGCTATTCGTTTTCTAGTATGCTTCTGTGTCAATTAAAGGTGCAGACACCACTGCTTCGGGTAATAGGTTCCAAGAATTAATGACTCTGTACGAAAACATGTCTGTCATGAGTATTTTGTTCGTTCTTGGCTTTTTTTACTCGCTTGCTATGTCCTCTGAGTTGATAGGAAGAAAAACAAAACACATCGGGTCCAAAATTGTTTCTTAGTATTTTATACGTCAAAGTCACATATGGATAATAATTGTGTTATTGTCAGTTTTACCATAATTCTATGAAACAGTCTATTAGTAACCCTTATATTCGTATATTCTCTTTACATATTCATAGGTGTAAATTATTTTACAAAGCGGATAATGAGTGGAAAGAGCGTGGACTTGGAAATTTATTCATCAAACCAACGACAAACGATAAATTTCAATTACTCATCCGAGCTGATACTAATCTCGGTAAGGTGTATAGAGATTTTAAATAATGCAAGTGCATTACTGTATTTCACCCCACGATTGATAGTAGACTTTCCAATTAAAATTTATGCAATAATTCAGGTCCAATTCAATCAGTAATCTAGATTTGAAGAGTGCTCCTATTAAGACTCTTTAGTATCGTTAACTCCAAGTACTTTTACGTGTTACCATTAATGATACGTTCTTGCACTGTGCTAATAATTTCGTCAGTTCAACTTCATTATCGTAAACGAAACTACTCATATGCTCCCCTTTTTCCCTGTCCCATTAATTAGAGTGAAATATCAGTTTTTTTAGATGAAGCTATTTGATGTTGACCCAGTGTAATCAGTCAAAATATGTTAAATTTGTCGGTTATGTATCAATGAAAAGCGATTAAAATAATTAAACTGAGTATTTTTCGTTCACTCGAAATATGGTAAGAATGTATTGAAATCCAATGAACGATGTTCGCAGTGAAAAATTTACTACAATATAATTTCAACCTAATTGATTTGATTCTCATAAGTTGTAATTTGAGATCGGATATTTCCAACTATTAATTAGTTTTTTTACCCCCAAAATTCTAATCTTCTAGGCAATATATTGCTAAATATACTGGTTACAAAAGATGTGCCTATTAAACAACAGAAAAATAACTTGACTTTAGTTTGTATCCCTTCACCACCTTTACCATCCCAGGCTAAATCATCCCTTACCAACGAAGAAGATAATGGGCAACCAAAACCAGTTCCAATGTTGATACGTGTGAAAACTGAAGAGGGAGCTACAGAGTTACTAAGTCAAATGGATTTGCACAGGGGTGTCTCAGCAAAGTCATAATATTGAGATGAGTTTTTCCCATTGTTTCTGTCTACCTCTTATTGACTGAAAATTATGTTTCGTGTTCTGAAGATTACAATCAATTTTTTTCGAAAAAGATCGTTTTGGAAGTAACTTTTGTTTTTATGTGAACTACATTGTAAAAAAAATTGTTGTGGACTTTTTTGATGAAATAAGGGTTTTGACTGTTACTAGTTTTCTCTTATCCCAATACTTTTACCATACGTTGCGTCCACCCGACAGCTACTCGATAAGGTTATCTAAGTTCGGAAAATTTGTGTATAATGGGTATGTGGTAGGAAAACTTGAATTACCATAATTAACAGTAATTTAAATAACCGGAATGGTGAACGTTCTTGATCCTGTGGATACGCGTTAGTGATTAGGTGCCAAACTTAATCGGGTTAGGAAACATCATCTTTGTTACACCGAACACACATTTCGTATGAATAACATTTAATTTCCCGTCCAAAACAATAGAATTAGTCCTTGGCATTGTACATGCTGAAGTGGTACTCGTCCTATCTATTACTAATCATTTAGACACAAACATTAGTAAAAAGGGGCACCAATAATATATATTCACCAAGCAATAAATATGAGGTTTTGAAGAGATAAAGAAAGGAAGGTATGGTAGGAAAAATGGATAGAAATTAGTGTGTAAGGAAATAATAATAGTGGAAGAAGCAATCCAGTTAAAAAAAATACAAACGGAAACGATTTTTCCCCCCTCATTCATATGAAGAAAACTGAAGTTACACCAGGACCGCCACCGTCTTAAATTCTGAACCACTGTGTTGCACTACCTCTGACACCAGGGAGTTGTAAGGGATGCCCATCTTATACATCTTTCTTTTATATCACGACAGTATGTCATGCACTGGTCAACTTTTCGCTTTTTCCAACCAGTCCCAGCGCTGACGAATAATGCACGACGTGGAATTCGCCAGATCGATATTCGAAGTATATATAAAAGCCACTGAGGTCAGTTTTTTAAAAACATAAATTGTAGTCACTCCAAGAGTTGGAGTTTTGGGCATACTTCCACTTAGTTAGGTGAGTCAGACTACACTGACCGGGGAGGACAGAACAGTCTGATCGATGTCGCCGAAGTAGCAGATCAGTTGGACTGCTCTCCGAAGAACAATACCCATCGTTCAAGATTGGCGTTCCATTAACTTCACTCATACCAGACTTCCCGCTGCCAGTGGCTCGGATGAGGTGAGAGAAATGTGGCTGCTGCTTCCAACTCACTGGCACACCCCGACCGTCAGGATTTTCGGTCATTACGCAAGATTTGCACAATTTCATAACGTAAAATCTTCGTTTATGGTCAAACTCGCCAATTTGCTTACACCAGTCCGTTTAGGGTGAGTTATTTGGCCACTAAAACAAAAAATTAGCGCACATAAGGGCATGATCAGATCTCCTGGAAGAAGATCAATTCCTAGAAATGCAGTCGACGATCAAGTTATTCCTAGCAGTAGGTTTATGATGAAATTAAACAGAAATGAAGATAGTAGACGATCATCTCCAATTGTCTTCGGTGGGTAATTGCCTCACAGCTGATATGGTTGAACTCCGCTGGTCACGACTACTTACTAGAACTCCGAGGATTCCCTTTGAAAGCTAGTCACTAGTGAGAACATAATAATTTTCAGTTTGGGGTTGTTGTCTAACACTGATCGGTTTTTAACGAAATCCAACAATGTACACAACCACAAACTTGAAAATATTAGCAGTAAAGTTGTATAAAATTAACTAATCTTTGTTTTTCCGTTTCAAATTTACGATATACTACTTGGGTTATATCTTCTGATTATTGACACTGTGGTATTTATGATCTTGATCAAACATTCAACATCGAACAAGAAGTGGTCAATTTTTAAATGATAACAAACATTTTTAAGTAATGGGTAAAGAATAACACAGAATTGCGAAGATATCACTTCATATATAGAACTGTCAAAAATCTCACACATTCACAAAATAATTACATTGAATAATAAGATCGGATATGAGGGATAAATCCACTGATCACAAATAGATACTTCTTATTCAATTGCTTCTCTTCTGAATTTCTATTTTGTACCTTTATGACTTTCGTCCGGAGAAATTTGTAAGTCAGAATGAATAGGAAATGAAGATTTACTATGAATGTTAGACGATTCCACCTTATCAGTATGTAACAATCCTTGTTTAATCATTTCTTGACGTTCTTCATTATATTTTACCTGACAAAAACAAGCAAACACATGATGTAGATTGTCATTATTATTCATTTAAACAATTTCTACTATTCTCTTTTAAATAACGTTATGTTATGATATTGCCAACGAACTGAATACCTTTGGACATCAGTCACAGGATTACATGGATATAAGTAATATTCGATGGAGTTTTAGTGGTGTTACGTGTTTCCATAAACCTTTGACGGTATCAAATATTAAAAAAATTATTGGTTGATATGTACGCATACCCAAGTACTTTTGTTAAGCATACTTATAGTTGTTGGTTCTTCTGCTCAGGAACTAATGGGACAGCAAGATGAAGTGCTTACTAAAATATTGGAAGCTGGTTTTAGTTTACAAAAAAAACGTCAATTCTAAGTTTAATTTGGTTATTTACTCTCTGAAGAAGTGACTTACATTAAGTCACGAAACGTCAGAAAATCTAGTTTTTCTACTCATTGGGATAGTAGAAATATATTACTTTTATTTATCGCATTACTTGTTTATGATTTCCAAATTTTCTATAAATCAATAGAAAATCTTGGACAAACTGATGCTTTATCTCGACAAATTGTCAATCAGCAGCAAGAAAGTGAAGATAATGTTATTGCAACGAGAAGAGGATATTCACCAAATAATACACGTTGTTATAAAAGCAACACTACTATCCGCCGAAGATATTAAATGCTGTACTCAAGAAGACAACGAGCTGAAACGGACAATTAGTTACCTCGAATATGGACAGCAAAAACATTGAATTTATCAGGTTAAATCTCACAATAGTAGAGGTAGTAACAGTATTAGGTGTAATAGAAAAAACTAAGCGTCAAAGATACGATCCAAAAACAATATAAACTAGAGAAATAAAAACTGTTGTATCCTTATTGTATAACGGCTTAGTAACTAGATCATATGTATTTATATTTCTTTTATCATAAGCTTTGAATTGATCTATTGGCTATTATTACACGGTTTACTACTCTTGAGTTATTCCCAAGCTATTAGTTACAGACTCTCACAGCCACTTTTGGCTTGATCTTGTATAATTTTTGTTTTATGGTGTGATGTGGTCTGGTTTGCTTGCATATAAACTACGTATATCTGAAACGTACTATTCATACAGTGGAGGCTGAGATTACTTTCTGAACTCAATGGGCAGGGATAAACGAGAAGGATCAATAAAGATTCAGAGTTAACACATGGCTGCTAGTACTGTTTTGAAATGTCGTTGGTTTAGCATAAGAACATGGTCATAAAAGTCAGTATTCGTATTGGCGACTTTGTCACATGATGATTAACAAGGAGAAAGTCACAAAAAACTTATGAGGAATCTAGGATCTTAGGATTTTGGAGTGGACACAGAAAAGATGCACCTGTGACATTCCAAACGATTTTAAGCCATGTCATTCAAAGTCTAACCATTGGCTACGATAATCACGCGGACCATAACCAGGTAATCTATACTTATTAACATGACTAAGTCCAATTGTCAGTAACTTCATGTACTGATGCCATGTTTTGGCTTGGTCGCCCCTAGCTTTCTGGCTAGCAACTGCTGTACCAGAAAACACCATCCGCCGAGGTAGACGACGGTGACCTACAAATATCCTCTACTCTTAATGGCTACGTTTCACATCCAAAAGCTATAACGGAGCAAACTGCTGCGCAGTAAACCCTCCCTTTGGTTGGAAGATGGATATTTCACCTACACCTTCTGAATCTGTGCCGAAATTTCGTCAGACATCAGTACTGATGAGACTTCCAAGAAAAGTGGGGCAGTCGATACGTCCAACCACTTCACTACCTATCACTTATTCGGGTGATGATGCAAGCCGAACCTGAAGTAACATTTTACATTTGCAGGGCGAACGGGATCCCTAACATCCTGGGATTGTTGCTTAAGGTGGTGAGAAGACTGCATTTTGTCAGTGTCTTCTGCGAACAGAACTATATCATCTTCGTATTCTAATTCAACAAGCAAAATTCCTGGTAAAAGATCAACTCCTGAAAAGTCAGACGATGAAAGTGTCCTCTCTAAAAGCATGTCTATGTCAAAGTTAAATTAAAATGGGGAAAGCGGACAATCCAGACGAACACGATTTGAAGTAATTAGTTCCGATGACAGTACAAAATTGATGTACTTCTTTGGTACGCCTTTCAATGACAGACACTACCATAGAACCTCACGATCAGCAGAGTCGAACGTTGCCTTACGGTCAAGGAATAAAACTATAGTAGGATGTCAGAAAGGATGTCTGTGTTCGATAATCTCCTGAGGGGTGGATATTTAATCTATACATCCACGCCCAGTTCTGATGCAAATACTGGTCAGACGGGAATACCTTACTATTGTCACACCCCTCTACAGTCAGTAGTGTGACATCGCTGTCTTACAGTTTTCTAACTGACCTGTCTGGCATGGCAGGTCTCAAATAAGGATGAGTTTCAGTCAATATAGCTCGGTTGAGTCATCACGAGAGGCGAGCCCAACCACCACGTCAAGGTATCAGCTACGGTTTGGATTTGTTGAAATGCATCCACGAGCTGGGATATCACTGATTTCCTTTCCTAAAGTTGGACTGATGTTGGGATGGATGTCGTTGGAAGTTTCAAGTAGGTTATTTGCATACTGATTTAGGGGATTACGCAAGATGGAGTTATCACATGCATCGTACATAAAGCGCCCACAGATATTATCGTTTTCATCTCAAGTATGCAACACATATACCCGAAATAACAGATTACGATTAGTCATATCAATTTCACTTTGAAAATAAAATTAAAGGTTCTTGATTTCTAACATTATGAGCTGTTTTAATTTGATATGGAGATGTAGCCTGTGTAGTAACTATTGATTTCTACTGCAATCTTAAGCTCATAGAATACATTTAACTGGCTTACTTTTTAATGCGAATCCAGAAGCATCAGATACCTTTTGCTAGGTGGTGCCAACTTTGCTA